TAATTATATAAGAGAAATAATTTCGCGTACATTAATAGAATTGCAACTTATTAAATTTCTTTTTTTTTCTTTGCATTTTTCATCTCGTACCCGCATATTAACAACATGTAAACAACCTTGAAAATTGTCGTTCCTCCTACAAAAAAAAAAAAATATTATTAAATTATTTAAAATAATATAATTTTTGTATTATTTATAAATATGAATTTCAATTAAATTTAAAACATAGGCTTTATAATATATTAGGAATGTGTGTGTATATAAAGATAAAAAATATTAATATACACTATACTTAAAAGTATGGTGATAAAATAATTAAAGAAAGTATTAAACAAAAGAATATTACATATATATATATTTATAAATGACGATTACTACTATATCAAATACTTTTTCTACAGTTTATTAGAAAATAAGTATATACATTGACTTCAAAATTACAAGTAAAATTGAAATAATATATACACAATTCAGCATTTACAACCTTCATATAAGGTGAATTACGCATGAACAACGTAATTTTTACTGCAATTTTAAAGTCAGGGTGTTTTATTATGGCATTATTAATTAGAAAAATTGGCAACAGAATTATAGTTAAGTTTAAATTTAACATGACTGTTTGTTAGGAATTTAAATAGGTAAAAATTCCATTGAATCTTACAAAATAAAGATAAAGAAATACATATACTGTTAAACAATCACCCAGATATAATATATACTTAATTTCTATATACATGTACTTTTTATTTTCAACCAAAGATAGTTTTCTAGCCATAGTATAATTTCAAAGTGTATGTTTATTTACACTCTGTGGTGCCAATTAATATGTTAAGAAGTTATTAAGTGAGTTTTTTAAAATATTACACTTAAAAAGAAAAACAAATAAAGGGCCTGAATAAATTTCATTTCCTCCTCAAAAACTATGTTAAAAAATCGATTTAATATTTAAATCGATTATACTCGTATAATTTCTATAAAAGTAAATGATCGCACTCTTAAAGTTTTTGTTCTATTACAAAAAAAAAAAGAAAAACCAACTATCGCCCAACATAATATTTATTTAAATATTTTCTACTCATTTCTCATTAAAGAGTAGAGAATTTTTTAATTAAATTTTATGTTGAATAAACGGTACATATATAAAATGAAAACAATTATATTTGTTTCTGTATGTTTTAAATAAATATCGTAAAATTTTTAATTAATCGAATTTAAATGAGATTTTGCAAATGTTATAAATTATTTTTTTTTTTTTAAACATATTAGGCAATTCGTATATAGACATTTAAAATTACCTAATTATTATTGTCATTATTAAATGTCAATGTCAATGTCTGGTATTTTTCTTCTATTTATTCTGTTTTTTGCTCATTTTTCAAAAATGTAGTTTTGAAATAAAAACCAAGAAAAATTAACATTTTTTTTTTGTTCTTTTTTTTTTTTTTTTGTATTAATATATGCATACATTCATGTTTTATATATATAAATTATAAAACTAGACAGACAGATATTTTAAAATTAGCATAAATTGTAATTTATATATATACACGTCTTTACTATATTTGTTTATATTTATATATGTATGAATATGTGGTGGTATATTTTTATAGTTTTGCATACATTTCATACTTTTAAAATTGTAAAATTACAATAATAATAAATTTTCTTATGAATTTTTTTTTTATATAAATATTTCTAATACGTGCAAATTGAATAAAAGTATGATATTTCTGTGAAAAAAAAAATAAGAGTGCGTGAAAATATAAATAATGTAAATTGTAAGGTGACAAATGAAAAATTAATAATGTCGGTATAAATAAATTTTTATATTCATTTCAATTAGATAGGACCTCTATAAGTATGGTATGACTATGAGGATAGCGATGCAAATCAAATATTTTTATACCGTCTTATATCGAACTTTAATTTCTAAATAATATTTTAACTTACATATCTCTAAAATATAAAAAGCATTTGTTATAATTTTTTGTTAGGGTTGTTGGTTTGTTGATTTTATTGAAACTCCTAAAAATATGCAATGATAATTTTATATTAAATTAAGCTATTAATATAATATTAAGTCGCCGAACCAAAAGTTTTGGGTTTGAAAGTGTTTTCAGAATATTTTCCGGAATTCAGAATGAATTAGAATCCGGAATGCAAATTTTGTTAATTGAACATGAGCAACGTTTGTACTAGTTAACATTTTTTTATTGATCTTATCTTGATTTTTTATTGATCATTTTTTTATTAAAAACCTCTTGGAGTTCTTAAAAATAAATCCATAATATTGCGTTTCTAATAATCTTTTCTATAATAATTTCAGTATTAGAAATGGAAAATTAAAATAAAATGCAATCAAAAGTGGAGTTTATTTCTAAGGTTTTACAACAACTTTACCTATTTACTCTTTTTTCTCCCTATTTATTTATATATACATATTTCTTCTTAAATTATGAATAATTAATTTAAGCAATTTATCAAGTTGACTACCTTTGTAATTATATTCAGTATAATTATTTTTTTTTATTTTATTTTCTAATTTATATTTATTATTTATACTTTATTTGTTATTTCAATTAATCGGTTAACATAAACATACCATAACGGTAAATATGTGTCTAGTATTTTATATGATTTAAATTAATATTCTCTTATACTTATTCTCTTTTGTATATAAGTATAGTACGTAGTACATATGTATATATATGTGCATAGTTACTTTTTTAATTTTTTCGTACAACTATTATTTATAATTAACTATATAATCAAACCATTCACTTGATCACTTTATGTTCATTGATTTTTTCTTTTTTAATTTAACAATAAAAAAAGAAAAATAAAACAATAAAATAAATAACAAGAGAATAACTACTCGTATTAACTTGTTTTTCTAATTTCTAACTAACTTTCAAATTGAATTCGATAGGAAACCTATCACCTATAAATAATAATAATAATAGAACTACAAGTATATTCAACTATTCGTAATAATAATAAATATTTTCCGGGCGTATAAAATGTCGTTTACTTAACTGAATAGTAAGTGATTATTATAATAAAAGTATTGTATGCATATGCGTACTAGTATAATTTTTATAGAGTCTTGTATATAAGTATGTATATATATCATTATAATATGAAGTTAGTTTTTTGTTTCTGCTTTTGTCAGAAGAATAAGAAAATAAGAAAGAGCTTTATATGTTTTCTCACTTTTCTTATTGTATACATATGTACATATATTTATGTACATATTTATATAAATATATATATATATATGTACATATTGTATTGTATATATATATATAAATTATTAGTTTATTTAATTTTTACCACTTTAGCAAATAAAATTCATTCTAATAAAATGAAAAAAATTTAAAAAAAAAACATATATACCACAAACTTAAAATCTATAAATAAAATAATGTTTGTATGAATGTCTGTATATTAATTATATATAATTTCATATATGTATACCCATATATTTATAAATATATACACATATATATATATATTTATGTATATATAGAAAATTCATAATTTCCGTCTCAGACGTGCTGAAACCTTCAACTTGATTTCCGTAAATACTAATGTTATGGTCACAATAATATTTAGCAAACAAACAAAAAAAAAATATATATATATAGAATTTCTACACCTATATTATGTCTATATGAATAGTATACAATATATATATATGACATAATAAATAAAAATTGTAATTGGTAGTCAGAATAGCCACAATAAAAATAGTGAAACAATAACTAAAATAACAAAATATAATAATAATGAAATATGCGGTACAAAATTTTCACGACCCCACAATTTTACAAATTTGTTTGTTTCTTTTTAAATAATAATGCACTTTATATATACATACTATGTATATATTTTTATATTATATATGTATTTATAAAAAAAAATGCACTTAAAAATAAAAATTTTCAAAAAAAAAAAATTTTTTTTCTATTTAAATTTTTAATTTTACAATATTTGCATACATAAATGAGAATTTGAAACTAATTATTTAATCTGAATAAAATTCATATGTTTTTGTCTTAAAAAAAAAAAGAAAAAAAAATTTAAGGAAAATTCCATTTTTTAATAATTTGAAGTAAATAATATTTTAGAATATTGAATTTTTTAATAACATATTTTAATAACTATTCTCAACAGAATTATTCGTGTAACTCTAGTTAAAATGCATGCATTTATTTGTCAAATCTTTGTTTCTAACTGTGACATACACAACGTCATCCAAATTAATCTAAAATAAGTTAAACTTTTGTTTAAGAGCATGTGGTTTCCGATAAACAAGGATTCTGAGAAAATATTAGAAAATTTCAACGTTTTAAGTTATAGTCCCTGTTTAGGTATAACCCCCTTCCAATAAAAATATTGGACCTTGATATAATAGATATTTAAAGGCGCTTATAAAGAACTTAAAACTAAGGTATTGCTTATTTTTGTATCGATATTCTGATCTGTAGTTTTCTCTTTCTATCCCAATAATCTTATGAGAAATTCTTTAAAAAGTTCAAATATCTCTTATGGTTCAACAGGTGAAACAAAAAACCGTTTACATTATAAAATTTTACAAGTGTTAACAACTGAAATTTTAGCTTCTATTACTCTGTTTAATAAAAGTTATCATTTTAACTATTTCAAAACATGTCCCTAATTATAATATACTTGATATTGTTAAAATAATATTTTTGTTATTGATTTTATATCATTGACTATACATATATTTATTTTGAATAAATAATTATTCCAAATTAATTATATTAAATTTTAAACTTTTTTTTATTAAAAAAATAGTATTGTGCTTCTTTTTAAAAGAATTTCTAATTATAAAAATTGCTATACAGTATGAAATTTTAAAAATGAATGGTGTATTTTATTAAGATTTAAGATTAGCAAAAATTATACTTAAACATAATAAACATAAATAATTTAAAATTAATAATGGTTTTTCTATTTTCTTTGTCTTTATATAGGAATTATGACACTGAGCCGTGGCCCGTACAGCGAGCTCGATAAAATGAGCCTTTTTCAGGATCTTAAGCTGAAACGTCGAAAAGTTGATTCAAGATGTAGTAGTGATGGTGAATCAGTAGCTGATACAAGCACATCTTCGCCGGATTTATTGGCCCCAATATCACCGAAAATGTGTGATCCTGGTAGCCTTCACCAACATAATAGTAATAATAATAATAGTAATAATGTCAACATTAGTCGTAATAATATACCATCGATAACGACGCTACCATCACCATTTTCAACATCAGGAGCGCCCACAATAAATCCACCATTATATTCGTCAACGATAGCAACAACCACATCATCATCATCATCGTCATCATCATCAACGACATCAAGTACGCAAACACAAATAAATACAGCTGCTTCTATTGCAGCTGCAACTTCTTTAAAGATACCATCATCGATTAAAAATGAAAAATCACCACCAGAAACGCCAACATCAGTTAGAACACCAACACCGCCAATTCCACCAGATTCTCCACATCATCATATTATTCATCAACAACAGCTACATCAAACTAGTAGCTATCGTCATACACAAAGTAATATTCATGATAATGGACCATCAAGTGATGTTAACAGTTGTAGTAATGAAACTAGTAGGAATTCACCTGACTCTATGGAAAGAAAACCTCAAAATTCTTCTACTACGAGTGTCTTAAGTGGTCGACCACTTTCTCGCAATAATGTGATGCATTCATCTGGACCTATAATAAATCCTAATATTAGTCGCCCTGAATCTGGTGCAATATGTAGTAATACAGGTGGAAATAATTGCACGACTAGAGTAGGAGCTGGAGAAACGGCAACAATACATATGTCTAGAATTAGTAGTAATAATAATAACAATAATAGTAATAATAATAATACCAATAATAGTAGTACCAATAACAATAATAATTGTAGTAATAATAATAACAGTAGTAGTAGTAGTTGTAGTAACAATCAAAGTGTGATACGTTCTGTAAAAAATGAACGAATTTTAAGTTCTCCAACAAAAATGTTGGGTTATTCGCATCATAATCAAGAACTGCAACAACAACAACATCAGCGGGAACCAACTCATAAATCGAGTATTCCACAATCACAGCAACATGTAACAGTACTTGTTTCCCCTTCAAGAATAAAATCTGAATACCAATCATCTCACCAGCAACAACAACAACAACAACAGCAACAACAACAACAACAGCATCAACAAACAGTGCACCAACATCAACAATATAGCCATCAGTCGCCATTAATACGTAAATCTAGTCCGCCGACTGCATTTTCAAATACTAGAAATGACTTAAGTGTTACGACAGCCACAACATCTCCAATGCCAATACATTTGATTCAAACACAACAGATGCAAATTTTACAAGCAGCAGCAGCATCCTCACAAATGATGTCAAGAGTGCAAATGTCACCAAACTCGATTTCACCTCGTTTAAACACAAGTGGCAACAACTCATCATCACAATCGCATGTAGTTCATTCATCTCAATCTTCAAGTGTGCAGCAAACTCAAATGCATCATATGCACCAACAACATCACACGCCACCTATTAGAATTAAAAAAGAAATAAATAGCGGAATGATCTCACCACAATCTCTTATGAGCTTATCACCGGGAAGTAATGGAAGTCCTGGTAGTACAGGCGGTAGTTCCTCGCATCATCGGCAAATGTGCTCATCTGGCTCAAACCAGCAATCCCCATCTCCACAGTCTCCAATGTCTTCAACATCCTCTTCATCACAATCTATGATGCACCCATCCTTACAACTACGACATCCAAATAGAGATGCGGCAATATTATATCGTGTGAAAAACGAAATGCAACAACAATTACCAAATATTATGCAGCAATCCCAACGAATGGTATGGGTTTCAAATACAAGAATAAATGGAGTAAAGCCTGAAGTGATTGGGGGACCTATTGGTAGTATACGGCCACAAAATATGGGGAATCAATCACCTCAAACACCCTCGCCACATCATTCATCCTCTCAAAACTCGCCCCAATCACCATCTCAAACGCCTATACGCGGTACTCCAACGGTCATCATGGGTGAGAGTTGTGGAGTCCGAACAATGGTATGGGGATATGAGCCACCTCCCCAACCACAATCATCACCCTCTATTCAATCATCACCTTCTTCAGCACCTTCAACGCCATCACAAACTTCTGGTCCGTCACAAAATCACGAAGAAGCAGCTCAACTTCTTTTAAGTTTAGGTCAAACTAGAATACAAGATACAAGACCCCGGCCACAATCTTTTAGACCACCACATGCCTTAAATATGGAAAGATTGTGGGCGGGAGATTATAGTCAATTACCGGCTGGTCAACAGTTACATGCTCTTAATTTGAGTTCGCAGCAACAATGGGTTGGAAGTGGTCCAAGTGGCGTACGTGGTCCATTAGACTCATCTCATAATGATGGTGAAGAAGATGAACAACCACTGGTGTGTATGATCTGCGAAGATAAAGCTACTGGTCTACATTATGGAATTATTACATGTGAAGGGTAAGCTGATAAGACATCAAAACTTTTCAAAGCCTTGACAAAAAATAATTCAAAATAATTCAAAAAATGAAATATAAAAATTAATAATAATTAATATTCACACAGGTGCAAGGGATTTTTTAAGAGGACAGTTCAAAACAGAAGAGTGTATACGTGTGTCGCGGATGGTACATGTGAAATAACCAAAGCTCAGAGAAATCGTTGTCAGTATTGTCGCTTTAAGAAATGTATCGAGCAGGGAATGGTACTACAAGGTAATTTTTAGACAAATAAAATTATTTTACTATTATTTTTATTGACGATTTCTATATTTTTTTAATTGTAGCGGTGCGTGAAGACCGAATGCCTGGTGGACGAAATAGTGGTGCTGTTTACAATTTATACAAAGTTAAATATAAGAAACATAAAAAATCCGCCCAAAAACAAATGCAGCAACAGCAGCAACATCAACAAATTCAACAGCAACATCAACATTTACAACACCAACAACAACCACAACCACATCAATTGCATCATCAACTACATTCACAACCATCATCACATCAACATCATTTACAGCATCATCATCAGTCACAACAGGGAGCAAATCATATGCATTCATCGCAAACAAAACTAAATGCACCAGATGATTTAAAACCAATGTTCCTAATTCCAACGAATCAACAAACATCTCAATTATCACTAAAGCAAGAAGATGGAAGTGGAAGTAGTGTGGGTGTAAGTGGAACTGTTGGTTCCGGTAACAGCAGCCGAGGTCTTTCGCCGCCTAGCAATATTCAACTGCCTTCGCATCTTGTTAATGGAACTATTTTAAAGACTGCACTTACAAATCCTAGTGAAATCGTTCATTTGAGACATCGCCTTGATAATGCTGTAAGTTCGTCCCGTGATCGACAAATGTCATTTGAGCACGCGATGAATAAAATAAAATCTTTAGTTGATTGCGATGCTATGGAAGACATCGCAACTTTGCCACATTTTTCTGAATTTTTAGAGGATAAATCCGAAATAAGTGAAAAATTATGTAATATTGGTGATTCTATTGTACATAAATTAGTTTCATGGACTAAAAAGCTGCCATTTTATTTGGAGATACCTGTTGAAATCCATACCAAACTACTAACAGATAAATGGCATGAAATTTTAATATTAACAACAGCTGCCTATCAAGCTTTGCATAGTAAAAGAATACAAGGGAGTAGTCAAACGACCTATATAAGTAGTGGCGGTTTGCCTGTTTTACATAAAGATGACCCAGAATTAGTACAAGAAGTAAATTCTCATTTAACAACTTTACAACATTGTTTAACAACGTTAATGGGACAAGAAATTGCAATGGAACAGTTGAGATTAGATGTTGGATTACTTGTTGAAAAGATGACACAAATAACAATCATGTTCAGAAGAATTAAATTGAAAATGGAAGAATATGTTTGCCTAAAGGTTTATATTTTATTGAATAAAGGTAAAAGTAGTTTTCAAAAACGCAAATGATCGGTATTTAAAATATTAAAATTTTTTTCAGAACTGGAATTAGAAAACATTCAGGAACAATATGTCCATGTCCTCAAAACTTACTTACAACATTCAACACCACAAAATCCCCAGGCTAGATTAGATGAACTATTGGCACATATTCCAGAGGTAATTTTGGTTTTTGTTTTTATTGCTTAATTTTTATATATTACCAACTTTTCTTTTTCATTTACCAAAATACAATTAAAAAATTAAATCTTTAGATACAAGCGGCTGCAGCCTTGTTGTTGGAGAGTAAAATGTTTTATGTACCATTTGTATTAAATTCAGCTAACATAAGGTAGCAAATGTTGGAACGTGGTCTCATTCTAACTGTAGACGAGAATCCACACAACCTTTTGAGAGAGCGGCAACCACATTACCAAGAAAATGTGGAAGAAGATGAAGAAGAAGAAACACATCTACAACGACAACAGCAACAGCTGCAACACCAACAAACAACATCTATGCTACAGCAACATTTATTACGTAATCAAAATCGACACGAAAGTCAACAAATTCAACAAGAACACCAAGAGCAAAGAAACTTAAATTTATCACTGCCAATATCCATCCATGAAAAACAAGGACAGCAGCAATATAATTTTATTAATACTGAACAGAAAATATTAAAAAATTCACTGCCAATAAAACGGGAACCAGAAATTACATTTACATCAACTATTGTTCAACAAAAGAATATAAAAACTGAACAGCAACCAACACTGCCAATTCAACAGCAATATCAAAAATCAATATTACATACGCATTTAACATCAAATCGTCCAAAAACAACATCTTCAACGACAGCAAACGCAATAACAAATGAAAGTAATCAAAATTCATTACATCATTTTAAATATACATCTAATAATTTACCAAAGCAAGAACAGCAATCAGAATTTCATCAACAACAACAGACTGAGCTACAATTTAAAAATTTTACTACAAAGTTACAAATGCAATCGCAACAAAAATTACAGCAACAACAGCAATTACAACAATATCATCATTATCACCAGCAACATCATCATCATCATCATCAGCAACAAGAACAACAATTCCAACAAATTAATCGTAAGTCTCATATGACATTAACCTCTTCTTCGTCACCAAATTCAAATGCGATGATTTCAGCCACACTCACAAAACAAAATAATAGTAATAACAATAGCAGTGGCATTAATAACACTGCAAATATTTTTACTACAACCAACAGTAATATTAAAACAACTTCGAACATTACTAACTGTAATAAATTAAATTTAAGTAATTCAAATAATGTTTATAGTAATAGTAATAATAATGATAATAATAACAGTAATTTAGGTTTTTCAAATATTAGTAATAGTTCTAATAATAGTAATATTAATAAAAATTGTAAAAATTTATGCAAAAGTCCAGCATTAACTGCCACAACACAACAACAACAACAACAGTATATAAATCAGTTTCGTGGAGCACATAATTATCATCAACAACAAAGATGTAATTATGAACGAGATAATAGTAATAATATTATAAATGATAATAGTAATAATAATACTAAAAATAATAATTGCATTAATACATCTTCATCATCAACAATATTACCATTATCAACAGCATCCTCTTCTGTAACCACACAAACACAAACTGATGAAATTCAAATAATACCAACAAATATTAGAATGCATAATTTACATCATCATCAACATCAAAGACAACAGCATGTAATTATACCCACAACAACAATAGAAACAACAGTAGCGCATTCAAATAAAGATTCATCTAGTAATTATAATACTGCTATTAATAGAAATAATGAAATTACAATATTACCAAGTAATACAAGTTCATTAAATTTGAATAATAATAATAACAATAATAATTCTCGTAATATTACTATTACTAGTAATAATAACAACAATAATAATAATAATAATAATAATAATAGTAATAATAATAATAATAATAATAATAATAATAATAATAATAATAATAATAATAGCAATAATGATAATAATAATAACAACAATCGTAATAACAATAACAGCGGGGAGAATAATACTAGAAACTCTAGCAGTCATAATATTAACAATAATAACAATGATGATAATGATAATAGCAACAATAATAATAATAATAATAATAATAATAACACGAGTAGTAATAATCACAGGAATGGTGCTCAAGAAGCTGTTACTGTTGTTGTATTTAAAACAATGTTACCTGATGACTGAATTAGTTTTAGAATTTAAAAAAAAAACATATTAATAAGAATTTTTCTTTTTTTTTTTTAAGATTAGACTTATATCTAATTAGAATGCATAATTATAAAAAAATCAAACATATATGTACATACAAAATATACATATATACATACAAAATTAATAATAGAAATTAAATATGAAATTAATTAAAAAATAAATAATCATGAAAAATTATATATATATATAAAAAAAATCATATATATATGTATTAAAAAAAATATATATATATAGTGTATGTATAAATATATTCATAGAGAAAATAAAACAAAATGATAACAAAAAAAAAATAAATAAAGAATTTTTGCCCTATTAGTTATTAAAAATGAAAAACAAAAATTAAAATTAATTAATTTCTATTAGCAATTTATTTTATAATTTTAAATTAATTTAATCTTTTTCTATATAACTATATATATACATATATATATATCAAGTATGTATTTTTTTTTTAATTTTATAAATATTATGAAAATAAATTTTTTTAACTATAATTAAATATAATGCATATTATAGATATAAATAAAGAATTGTAATATTATAAAAGAAACAAAAAAAAAAGAAAAAAAAAACAAAACAACCCAATATTTGTTATTATTGTATATGTGTATTTGCTTAGTATATAAGTTAAATAATATTATTTTATTAATTTTAAATATTATAATAAATAATTATTATTTTTTTTGGACTGAATCAATACACACACGTTTTATACTTTGGTGTTATTTTATTTTCATCTTATTTTTTATATACCAATAATATTATATAAAAAAAACATATTGTTATAAAAACATTAAATATACATCTACAATATATACATATATATACATATATGTATATATATGTTTACTAATATATACTTTAAAAAATTTTATGTTCATTTTTTTTTTACTTTTTTTTTTTTGTGTTTTAATTTTAAGACTTTTTATACAAGTATATATATATATATATATATATATATGTATATATATATATATACAAAACACATCTTTTTAGTAATAAGTAGTGTTTTAATTTAAAATTTTTAATTGTTTTATATCATGATCATCTACTAAAAATTTTGATTTAAAATATTTTAGATAAACTGTTTTCTTTATATACATACGATTATTTATGCAAATTGAATTCTACATACTTTAATAATTTGGAAAATAATTTTTTTTTTTTTTAAAATTAACTCACCTATACAAGTTCATTCAAAATTCGTTTATTTTTCGAATAATGATAATGTTAGAATTGAAAATTATGCAGTTGTTAAGAAATACACGTCCAATTATTTATTTTATTTGAAATAAAATTTAAAATAAACTTTCAAATTATTAAATTTGAAATGCAGAATGTTAATGTTTATATTTTAAAAATTTTAAAATTTTCTTTTTTCAATAAAAATATACATGAATTATATAACAAAAGTTATTAAAAATGCAATTAACTTCTTGATTTAAAAATATTTGTTCTAAATTTGTGTAATGAATATTTTCTCACATCCTGTACTAAGGTATTTCCTAAACATTATTAGTAAGGCGTTATTATTAGCATTTTAGTAACAACTCATAAAACTCAGAACTACATATTCTGTATTAAAAAAAAAATTATATAATTACAAATCGTATATAATTTAATATTTTATTTATTTTTTCTGATTTATTCATTTATATAGTAAAAATTCAAACAATATTTTGATTGCCATTACAAACTGATTTTAATATCACTCTGAAATTTTATTATTCAATATGTATAAATAATCACCCTATATTAAAATAATAATAAAAAAAAAATTTAAAATTTGAGTAAAAAAAAAACAATAAATTGTACATATATATTTCACTATATATTAAATTTCACATAATTTATATAAAAATACTTAAATTTTTTATTTTATTAATATCAAATATATAATAGAATAAATTAACTTTTTTTTTTAAATATTTTATCTATTGTGTCTATAAACACACACACATATTATATAGTATGAGAGAAAATTTTCTGTTATTACACTATTTTTTTTTTATCTTATTTAAGTTTATTATTTTATTTATTATTTAATTACTTACATTTAGTTATATATACATCCTATAATATATCAATGAAAGTAATGTATTATGAATAATAAAAGGATACAAATCTAATATTTTGTTATATAAAAAAAAATAACATTATAAATAGATTTTAATTTAAAAAGATCTCGGATTCTTTTATATTTTTTTTTTTTAATTTTATCTTAAGACTCTTTTAATTAAAATATAAATTTTATTTTAAATGAAAATTTTTTACATAGACTAATATAAACTTAAATGATTTGTATCCTTTTTTTTAATGGAAGAACATAAACAATATTTAAAACTTTATTAAATTTAATAAACTATTTTTCATTTTGTGATTTATTGTGAAATTTTAATATAAAATTTAAACTAAATTAAAAAAAAAGGAGAAAAAAAACTTTTTGCAAACTTCTTTTGAAAATTAAATTAAATGAAATAAATATTTTATCCTTTTTTAATTATTACACTTTTATTTTAAAAATTTTTTTTGAGAAATTTGAATACAATTTAGCAAAGATGTGCTCTAAACATTAAACTTAACTACTGTAGTTTTTTTCATTCATTGAATCCTTTCTGCTCTAACAATTAACAATGAATCTTTTATAAAACAATTGTGTTTTTCAATGACATTTTTTGCATCATTTTATAATTATTCAATATATGAATATTGAATTTTCAAATTCAATATTCATTTTATGGCAATTATTCATTTTCATCTTAGTTCTACAGCAAAAATCCTGCTGTTACTTCAAATAAATTTTAAGTATCATGAAAAATTTACAATCTTATAACTATATTACATTCTAAATAACTATTAAAGCACTTCTGCGGTTAAATTGTATATAAAGTTTTATAAACATTTTATATAATTTTAAACATCCAATTCTAAATTTTTTTTTTTCTATATTCAAAATATATAATTTTTTTCTTATACAATTAAATTCAATTTCAAAATAATTCGCATTATAATTTATAAAAACGAAAATAATCAATATCAATTAATTAAAAATTTACAAAAAAAAACACAAGCCTATAATCAAAAATTAAATAAAAATTAAATAAAAAAAAAATAAAAAAAAAAAACAATAAAAAAATTAATTTAAAATAAAAAAAAAAAATAGAAAAAAATG